GGTTCCGCTCCTCTACAATTGTGTGAGTGGGGTACACCTATAGGAACTTTGAATCTGGGCTTTGATTTTGTTAATGAAGTCTTGGATGTTGATCATAGAGGGACAAGATAAGGTGAAAGCTGAAGGATGTTGTACAACTGTAAGAGACATAGATACGTGGAAAGTAGGAGAAAGAATAGGCCATTCGGCTCTTCAAGCCTGCTCTGCTATTCAATATAATGTTGGCTAGTTGTTCAATTCAGGACACTGTTCCTATTTTCTCTGCCCATAGTCATTGATCCCTTTCAACCTGAGGGTCACCATGTCTCTGGCAAGGTCCTTCAGAACCGTTCTGAAAAAAGGTCACCGGACTCGAAACATTAATTCTGCTTGCTCTTCATGGATGATGCCAGAGCTGCTGAATTTCTCCAGCAATTTCTGTTTTAATTTGTTTCAGATCCCCAGCATCCGCAGTTCTTTGTTTTATTTCAAAGAAAGAAATAATTTTAGTGCCCCAGTGATTTGGCCATGGATACAGAACACATTATGCAACAATGAGCTGAGAAGTATTAGATAACAAACAAAGCCCAAAAGTTGAAATGAAATCAATAGATATATGAGGGAAAAATTGAGAGCAAAGAAATTGAGTCAAATTGGAGTGAAGTTGGGATGAAAATGGATTTTGTTGCAGATGTTCTGTCCCCACTTCGAAGTTAGTTTGGCTAAGTATTACATTAATATGACAGTGTTCTTTTTTTAAAATCCATTTGACCTCTTAGGATGATCCTGATAAATGTACTTTGTTTCCTTTGAATTCAATATTAACACAGAAGTTATAGCTTCTGTCTATATGCTTGTTGCCGTTTTAAAACCAAGAAACAAACACTTTTAAGTTTTATTTACCTGATTGGTTTTTTTCTTGCAAAGTAGCTTCAGTATATTTTATTGTAAATGTTTTTCTTAAAAAGCATTTTATAATTCACGTTATTTCCAATCATTTTATAACCCAACTCACTCCTAAAATCTCACTGGGGCAATAATTTCATACAACAATTAGGGAGCACATGATTGTGAATTGAACATGCTAAATGTTTAGTCATTTAGTTCAATTGAATTAAATCTTACACCCAAACTAATTAAATCTGGTCAGCTGTTATACTTTATTGAGTTGCTTATGGGTTTTTTTGGACTATTAAAAGTCTTACACTTGTGACCGTTTTCCAGGTGGCAAAACATTTAACATTTATCGTTATTTTAGCTGTGAAGCTTTAAAAAATGCAGTTTTCACTTCACTCTCTGACACCACGTTTCAAAAGTTCTCCAGGATCAGTTAAGATCAGCCTGGAGGCTGACCAAAGGCTTGGGGCCTGCCTGAAAACAGCCAATCTGCCCCTCCCCCGCTGTTGCTCATATTGAGTGCTGCAAACAGAATAAAGTGCTCTTGTACTAAATGCCTTCTTTTGTTAATCCTTTTCTTGATTGAAATGCTTTTGTTCTTTTTTTTCTTCTTCAACCTCTAACCAACTTGGTTTTTAAACAAAAAAACACCTTGTGCAATGACTTTGCTGCTAAGACAAGCTAGAAAGTACCTCGATTTAATTCCCCATCTGCACAGAATTAAGCTGATTTCAACTGGAGTGGCAGCGGGAGATGTACAATTAGTTTCATTTCCTTGGCTTATGGAGGAGAAAATCGGATGTCAATTACTATTCAGTTACATTTGTGGCAAAGTATAAGCATATCAGGATAGTAAGCCAGGGAGAAGGCTGGGCTTGTATGCTATGTACCTGAGTAGCCTGAGAACTCATAGATCACTCTGTTTAAGCACTTTATAATCTTATTTCTGAAGAAGGGTCCCAATGTGAAATGTCAACTTTCCTGCTCCACTGATGCTGCCTGGCCTGCTGTGTTCCTGCAGCTCTACACTGGGTTATCTCTGACTCTAGCATCTGCAGTTCTTACTATCTCTGAATGAGTTATGATCTGTATGTCCTTGTTTGCTATGATCTGCCTGTACAGCTCACAAAACAAAGCTTTTCACTGTATTTAGGTACATGTGACTACAATAAATCAAATCAAATCAAATTAAATATTCCTATGCGCACCCAGACACATTGGAAAGTCAGAGTTTGCTGCTTGGCCTGCTGTGTTCATCCAGCCCTGCACCTTGTTGCCACAGAGTTACAGCTTATCCTGTTTTTGCCCCCACTTAAATGAATGAAAGGTTCAATGAATTAGTTCCTTTTTGACCTGGTTTTCCAATCTGTCCAATTTTTCCAATGTTTGCTGGGCACACATGTTCCTGCACAGCCGTGCTGTTACTTAAACTCAGCCAAATGTTATTTTCTATGCTCTTAAGTGAAAAACAATTACTTGAGAGAGGAGCTGGAAGGCACTCCATTTTTTTGGAACTATATCTCACCAAGGACAGTTCTAGAGAGGAGCAGGGAGAGAGGGAGTAACAAAACAAGGCCAATCCAAAACTAGAGGACAAAGGTTTAAGGTGAGAGGGGAAAGATTTAAAAAGGATCTGAGGGGTAACTTTTTCATGCCGTGTGTGTTTGGAACAAGCTGCCAGGGAAAGTGGTGGAGGCTGGTACAATTACAATATTTAAAAGGCATCTGGGTGGGTAAATGAATATGAAGGGTTTAATGGGATATGGGCTAACTGCTGGTAAACGGGACTAGGTCACATTAGGATGTCTTGTCAGTACGGTTGATTTGGAGCAAAGGGGCTGTTTCAGTGCTGTATGACTCTGACTCTAACCTTGGCATCAAGATACTGTTATTTGTCAAAGTTATAATATTTCACTCTTCTATATTCATTTTATTCTTAATTAAGGCGCAGAATGATTTTATGGGCCAGAAGTTCTCCACAAATCCAGCAGGGCATTCTGGGTCCCAACGTCTTGCTGGCATTTTTAAATGACATTTAAAAAGTATTTGAATAAAGTCAAAATACTGTGGATGCTGGAAATCTGAAACAAATGCAGATAATCCTGGAGAAACTTAGTAGGTCTGCCGACATCTGTGGAGAGAGAAATAGCATTAACATTTTGAGTCTGGTCTGAGTCTTCTTAAATGGCTGTAAATATGCTGAGATCATGAATGTCACTATATAAATGCAAGTATATCTTTATCAGTTGTTTTGTGTCTCTATTTTTTCTAAGCATACTAAAATACTTATATATCTTCCAATTTTTCAAAAATATGGCAAAGGATTAAACACAAATTTTCCTCTTTAAAAATATTGATTGGGCTGCTGTATACTGTTAGCACTTTTTAGTTGTCCCTATTCTTTTAATGGGATATAAGCATCACTGGCAAGCCAGCATTTGTTGACCATCCCTAAATGTCTTTGAACTGAGTGGTTTGCTGGGCCATTTCAAGGGGTAGTTAAGACTCAACCACATTGGAGTCATGTGTAAGGCAGACCAGGTAAGAATTGAAGACGTCTATCCCTAAAGGATGCTTGTGAACCCAAAGGGTTTTTCCAACAATGATGGTTCCATGATTACATGACTAAGACTTGCTCTTAAATCCACATTTAGAAACTGAACTTGAATTTAATTAGCTTCTCTGGTGGGATTTTCAACGTAACCCTCAAAGCATTAGCCGAGTTCTCTAAATTACTAGTCTAGTACATTAGCATTACATCCCTATCTAGCTTCCCTTTATATTTGAGCTATTATGAAGGTTAAGAAAATTCAGCATGTCCACAATGACTCTTCCAATTTTTATAGATGCACCATAAAAAGCATCCTGCCTGGATGCATCACAGCTTGGTATGGCAACTGCTATGCCCAAGACCGCAATAAATTATAGAGCGTTGTGAACACAGTTCCGTCCATCACAAAACCAGCTTTCCTTTCATTGACTCTGTCCACACTTCCCACTGCCTCGGGAAAGCAACAAACATAATCAAAGACCCCTCTCACCCTGGTCAGACTCTCTCCCACCATCTTCCATTGGGCAGAAGATACAAACATTTGAAAACACATACCAACAAGTTGAAGAATAGCTTCTTCCCCACTGTTATCAGACTTATGAACAGACCTCTCATATATTAGAGATGATCTTTCTTTGCAGCTTCTCTGTAGCTGTAACACTATATTCTGCATTCCGTTCTATTGCCCTGGTGTACTTACATAAGGTATGATTTGTCTTGTTAGCACAGAAACAATATTTTCACTTTATCTCGATACTTGAGACAATAATAAATTAAATCAAATTATTACTAAACTTATTGAAGCATTTGACATTAAGGTTCATTACTGAACATTACAAACTTATATAGAAATGCAAACTTCTCACAATAAAGATCTTAACCCTATAACGTTCTTTAGTTTGCTTTTATTAACGTTTAATTTATAGTAGAAAGTTTTGTTAAAAGTTAGCAGCCCACAAACAAATCTTGTTTCTTTTGTATATTGTACAGTTATGTTAAAATTGTAAATATTCTGGTCAATAAGGTGTCATACACTTTAATGGTAATCAATAGGTGAGACTTTAAAGAGTAAGAGAAAACTTTTTTTATTTCTAAGGGATTGAGAAAACAAAGTTTTGAGAATTCAGTGGTTCACAGTTCTCTACATTCTGTGGAGTAGTGCCTATGCTGTTTTTGAGGCAATCAAATCGAACTCAAAATGAGATATGCAGCACCAAAAAGGTTTGGGGAGTGTTTGTTTTAAGCAAAAAGGCATTTCCAAGATAAAATAACCACTTCAACTACCCAGCTTTACTGAAACAGCAGCGTTTGACCACAGAAATAAAATGGATTTTTAGACGCATTTCAAAACTGGGCAATATGTTGTTGAGCAAAAGATTTTGCACAGTGTATACGGTATCAGTTCAATGTAAAATTTGGGCTCTCATCAAGAACGACCTTGCAATTCCGAGGCTTTTTTGTTTCAACCCTACCACCACCCCCAAAGGCATTGCAGCCACACCCACTGGGCATGCGCGCTGCTGCTGGACTACAACTCCCAGGGTGCCGGGCTCGCATGAGGCATGCGCGGTGCGGTCCAGGCGGTATGTTGTTTGTTACAGTGTAACCAGCTGGCGGGGCTACAGTGATACTGCTGGGATCATCATTCTGCATGCTGATAGAGTACTGCCTTATCCCACCCAACCTCCTCTCCTTCTCTAATCTCACTGCCTCCTCCTGCTCCTCCCAAGGAACTTTAAAAAAAATTATTTGCAGATCAAGTGGGAATCATATAAGGAAGGGGGCTCTTTGCAAGCTTAGATGGTCCACAAATGAGAAGGAGGAAAAGATGGAGCTGCATATCTTAGAGCACAGGCTGAAAGTAGCAAGTATAGCCAAGGACGGTATCCAGTTGTTTACCCATGGATTAATCAAACTTGCTTTTCTGCCGTCAAAGACGAGGTAAGTGCAACGGGCTGGGGGAGGGGTTGGGGAAAGAAAAAGAACACAAAAGGTAAGAGACACTCTTGGATTGCTGCCTTTAAATTGAAATTGCGCTGGAAGAGAGAGAGAGAAAAAAAAGCAAGAGTTGATGTCATTGCTTGGACATTGGGGGGCTGAAGGGAAGGTAACTGGCAGCATTAACCTGAACTGTTTCTTTTAAATTAAAAACACTAATCTCGCTACTTAACAGGGCCTAGTGTAACAGTCATTGTCAAACCTACAAGACAATGTGATGAACACAGCGGGAAAGTGGAGTTAAAATGGAAAATGAGAGCGGGGAAAGACGGAAAGGGGGAGGGTGACGGTGTGTGTTAGAAATGAAAAACGGGGCAAGCGATCGGTGTTTGATTGTGGGAACTGGCGGAGTACAAGCCACTGTTCTACAGAAGAGGATATTGTGCACAGGGCAATATCCAAAACAGCATTTTGCTCAATGCAGCGCTTGCCGGAGAGCCTTCTTCACTTGGTTTAACAGAGAAAGCCAGCTTCATTGCAATGACACCTGATCGCACACATACATAACACAGGCAACCAGAGCTGGGTTATGTAGACGACCTCCCTCCCCCTCAATAAAAAAAATCTGTTTTTCGTGTTTATTTTTCCGCTTGTAAAAGCAGAAATCACGATGAATATTTATATACCGTTTCCATTCGGCGGGTCTTGTTTTCCAGGTTCGCTGAATATTTCGCGATTCCAGCTCAGAGTTTTATCGCCTTTGTTTTAACTGTAGCAGTGGCACGTAGAGCTGTAGAAATCCGATTTTTTTTTGTTTTAAAATAACTTTCAGACATTACGGATTATTAGCCGCGGTTGAGGAGCAAGTTTCTGCTCATTTAAGATCTTCGCTGTCATAAAATCAGATATTTATCCAAATCGCACTTTTCTTTTGTGAACATGCTCGAGGTTTGTTTTTGGAAATACCTTCGATGCATTGATTTCTTTACGTTGTGTGACTTGCTCTCTGGTCGAGCTCGATCAGCACGCGATTTATCATACTGTTGCGAAAATGCATCTGAAGTTAATTCATCTTCATGACAACCGAGTTCCCCGTGCAGCCGGAAAGTTTAAACTGCACAAATAAACCAGCTTAGCGCCACGGTGGCTCATCTTGCAGCGAAAGTTTGGAGAAAATATTTTGTTTCGCTCTTTTAGACCCTAACATGTGCATGTTTCTAAGTTTCCTGCTCCTTTTTTTTCCTAGCATTGCAGAAATCATGTCAGTAGTTCGCATGAACGAAAATAAAAACAGTCTGGTCAATCCGGCGTTACTGAGCTTTGATTCATTGCAAATAGAAAGCCTGGTTTGTGTTAAGTCACTTAAAAAGATGCACATTGTAGCTGTAATGTAGTGCAGTACACAGCAGTGTAGAATAAAAGGCACAAACATGCACTGACTGCACTGGATCTCTGGAGCTGTTTACTTAATCGGTTGAAATAAGCGACATTATTCAGCTCATTAAATATACACTTGTACACTGAATGCTTGATGTTGGTTTGAGAGAGAGACCACAGCAGTTGGTCGGAACAAACCGCGAGGCCATAACTTGGGAGGAGTGTGTGGTTTATGTAAACTTGAGACGGAAACTCAAGTTTTTTTTTAAAAAAATGTAATTATAGGAACCAAAGTAGACTGTGTAACAGGAGCAGAACGAATTTCCAGTATGGTGGCAGCGCGCAGAGTCATAGTGTCTACTGAAAGGTTGTGGAAAAGTACAAGTTGTAGAGCGGCAGGCAAGGGATTGGAGGGTTGCAGTAAATAAGTAGTGGTGAGGGGATTGGTTGTAAATCTAGAGGAGGAGCTGAGTAATAATAGGATTTTGAAAGCATGTTTGACTGTGAATGATTTGTAACCCTTAGCAAACGCACTTACAGCTGTGAGGTAAGTAAGGGAGTTGGAGTAATGATATCAGAATGTGGAAGTTAGGCGGGCTGCAAAATACCAAAAGAATGAGTTTTGAATTTAACGTTTCATTCTTGCACTGGGTGAGCCACTATGAAACATGTCCTCAGATTGGTTACCTCCCTTTAAACTTTTCAGCACAGTTTCAATTGTAATTATATATTGAAAATGATTGAAAAATATGGGATGTCTTTGGGGAAGCTACACTTTTATCATTGAGTTGAAGGAAGTTTATTTTGAAGTAGTACCTAAACAATGTTCAACTGAACAGATGGAAGATGTAGATCCAGTGAAATGCAGGAGGAATAGAAAGGGTCACTGGGTGGAAAGCAAGCAAATACAGAACCTGTATTTACATTGTACCTTTTACCACCTCTGGATGTCCCAAAGTACTTTACAGTCAATGAAATACTTTTGAAGTGTACTCATTGTGTAATGTAAGAAATGTGGCAGCCAGTTTGCATTTGATATGGGCTCATGGACAGTGATACGCTTACAAGCAGATAATTTGTTTTAATGATGTTTGTTGAGGTATTAGTCACCATATCACGAGTAAGTCCCTGCCCTCATTGTGTCATTGGACACTTCTTTTACATCCACTTCAGAGAGCAGTTTAACAGCTCACCTGAAAGACAGCACCTTTGAAAGTGCATGGGGTGGTGGTGATGTTATGGTCATTTCACTGGATTAGTAATCCAGAATCTCAGGTCAATGTGGACATGGGTTCAAATCTCACCGTGGCATATGATGACGTCTGAATACAATAAAAATCTGGAATGAAAAAAGGAGTCTAAATGATAACCATGACTGTAAAATCTCATCTGGTTCATTCTTTTTCAGGGAACGAAATCTGTCCTTGCCTTGTCTGGCCTATATGTGACTTCCACACGCACAGCAACATGGTTAACTCTGAACTGCCCTCTGATCAGTTAAAGATGGGCAATAGATTCTGGTCTAGTCAGTGATGCCCATGATCTGTGAACACTTCACTAGGGTGACTGCCTTGATTAGCTGCAAGCCTGAAGCAAGAAGGCTCCCACTGATCCTTGGCCAAGCTGGGAAATTTCCAAAGTCTAATGACACACAAGGAAGACAAAGCCCACGCTCATTCACTTACCTGGTACTGTCTGTTACCTGGGGCTATTGCTTGAGGGATGCCACTTTGCAGAAAGCATGGCAAATCCGGTTACCCTTGCAGTGCCATCTGACATATTGGAGAGGATTGATGGTTGATAACCAGCTTGTTTGGCTGCATTATGATAGCACCTTCCCTAGCCGCCAAGTTTGGCATAGGACAAGAATCCAGAGAGCTTCTGTGTCAGAGGCTCGGATGCCACTGCACTGCCACAAGACCACCTCGGCTGTGGTTAAGAAATTGATTTTTTTTTTTGTTTGTTTTACAAGTTGGAGCTGAAATACGTTAGACAAAGCAAAGGTTTGGTGCACTCCAATTGTCCCTACCTCTGAGTTAGGAGGCCTGGGTTCAAGCCCCACCTGCTCCAGAGGTGTGTAATAATATCATGGAATGGGTTGATTAGAAAATATCTGAAAATGAAGTTTGAATGAAGCCCAACTATGAATGGTTACAGAACTCCAGGGGCTGGAGGTAGCTACAGGGTGTTACGCTACGGCTTGAGTTGAAAGTAAAAACTAGAAAGAATTGCATATTGGTGAAGCGCTTTTCCCAGCCTGAGCGTGACTTACAATCTTTAGTGCTTTTCAATTGAAAGTTACTGTTGTCCTGTAGGAAACATGGCAGACAACTTGCACTCAAAGATAACTTTGCATTAATGACCAGAGGATCTGTTTTCCTGATGTGGATTGAGTGATAAATGTTACCAGAAACTGTGCATATCATCTTTGCATCTGTGTCTTATCCAGAAGACAATACCACCAGCAGTACTCAGTTCTGCACTGGATATTTGTGCTCGAATATCTGTAGTGGGTCTTGAACCCACAACTTTCTGGTTCCAACCCGCCTCTGTTGGCAACTGAATCTTGACTGGTGTTTTGGTCGGAGAGAGTCTAAATGCAGTTCCCTGGAGTGGGAGGAGTTTTCTGATCCTCTGCCAACAGATTTGAAGGTGGGGCTAGCATATAAGATGCTGTGTGTGTCTTGCCCACTGCCTATTCCTAACCCATTGCTCATTTTATTGACGGTAAAAAAAGACTATTGCACATATCCTTGGGCCTGTTGAAGCACTTGAGTACGTCATCCCAATCCCCCATTGTACCAGCAGCAGGAACAGACCCCAGCCTAGTTGGTAGCACAGTAGATTTTACCGAGCAGGCTGGGGTTGTGCAGTGCAACAAGATCCGGATAACATCCGGGCTTGGGCTGACAAGTGGCATGTAACGTTCATGCCACACAAATGCCAGGCCTTGACCATCATCAATAAGAGACAATCTAACCACTGCCCCTTGACATTCAATGGTGTTACCATCAGTGAATGCCCCAATATCCATATTCTTAGGGCTACCATTGATCAGAAACTCAACTGGATTTACCACCTAAATACAGTCGCTACAAGAGCAGGTCAGAGGCTAGGAATGCTGTGCTAGGAATCACCGTTCCTTCAAGAGTCGCTGGGTCAAAATCCTGGAATTACCTCCCTAATAGCATTGTGGGTAAACCCACAGCATATGGACTGCAGCGGTTCAAGAAGGCAGCTCCCCACCACCTTCTCAAGGGCCACTGGGGACGGGCAATAAATGCTGGCCAGCCAGTGATGCTCACATTCCACAAATGAATTTAAAAAGAGGTGGATGGGGAACCTCCTTCAGAAGCCTCTATGCCAATCAGATTCATCCTTTCACAAAGTCTTACTTCTTCCTTAGCACTCCAGTCAGATTGGCTGGTGATTGTTTGTTTGTTTAATGCAGGACATCCTACCAAGTGAGGGCAGAAGTTTCATCTCCAGGCAGTAAAGGCTTCACTGACAGCCAATGATGGCAGGAATACATTTCCCATCAATTCTTCAGGAGGTCCTGCAACCGGACATATCTTGCCCCATACTACAGCAGTGCAATAACATGCATTTGACCACATCTTTGAAAA